AGCTCGGCGTCTCGGTCCCTGGCAGTGGCATCCGCCGAATCCAGGTCAAGGTGTGAGGACAATTTCACCACCACCCGGTTCCACGTCTCCGCCTGCAGAATCACGTCGGCCCTGCTCACTAATGCCGACCGATCAAGATTCGCAGCGTCGGGCGTCAGTTTGGCGTGCACCAGTGGAATGCACGCGTACGAGTAGCCCCAGTCGGTGAGCTTTTGGATACACGCCACCAGGTCCGGCACCGACGTGAAATCGAAACCGAATTTTATTTGACTCTTGGACGTGGTCATCGCGATGGTGTGCTGACTGTTGTAGTGACTAGTGCACCGCACCGAAGGACACTGATCGTTCTGAATCCTACAACCGTCGTCGTTATTTCAATAATATTACTATGTCGTGATATAGGTGATGACGGTTGTTTCCGGTTTCGACGTTTGTCTTGCACTCAAACAGTTACTGTTGAATTTTTTATTTTGTAAATTATAGTAATGTTTTCGCTATTCGCTGGCATTGTTGTTTTTGTTTCGAACACGTTGTTATCATAACGTCTGCCGCCTGATCGGCGTATTCCGGTTAAAACCGAAAAACGGTCTGTTATCATTTTTTATCGACAGTGCTACAACAACTTATTGGTGCACGGTAAATTGAATATTACCAGAATATGGATGTAATATTAATATTACGAATTACGATGTTATGCGTTCCGATTGTAATTTTTTACCCAAATCCCATTGTGATTTATTATTTATTTATATACATGATATTAAATAGGGTACCTATAAGTTTACGTATCGAAATTCCTATTTTCGTGCTTTACTGACATTGGCTTTGGCTATAATGTATTACTGGATAAGTTAATATATATATATATATATATATTTACACTTATGTCCGCTAAAAGGATAGCTGAATAAAAATTCAAAATTAGATCTAAGCGTCCATTTCACAGGACAATGTTAATAGACAGTAGCATTGGCTCTCTGAAGTTTTTCGAAGTTCCGTTACAAAGAATTTTCATTTATGTTATTGATACAAAAAAAAAACCGAGTAATTAGATAGTTGGTGATTTTTTTGTAAGAAATGGCAATAATTATTGTCATTTGTAGCTAAATAAAAAAAAACTCGAAGAAAGGAGTATTAAAATATTAGAGTTCTGTTACTTAACATAAACAAAGTTGATTGGGCACTCAAGTAGTTAAGTGTAATTAATTCAGATACCTAATAATAATTATCGTATTTTAAATAACGAAAATAATATATGGTTTCGTTTTATCTTTAGAGGAATTTATAATTATTGATTGTTGCTTGACCTAATAACTAATTATCGTTTTAGTAATTTAATAGATTACCTACTGGTCAATACTATTATGTTTAAACAAATAAAACATGATTGATAAATAGATAGATTAATCCGTACTTATCTCTAACTATGCTTAATTACTTAAACCTTATTTTTTATCGTTTTATGGACAATAAATGACTCATTGAAACTCTCTTATAGTTTTACATAAAAATTCCGTTATTAAAAAAAGATTTGAACTTCTATGGTTATATGACTTTTTTTAATCATAAAAATATTATTTGATTATATATTGTAACAACACTTCTCTAGTCTCTTATAATCAGTCAGTCGTCAGTGTGAATAGGATACTATGTTGAGCAAGCCGTGTACAACAATCTTTCACTTTTTATGTTGTCCTATACAATTAATAGTTAAAATATGGTGCTTATTAAAGGTTAACTATTTTAAAAAAATTAGAAAGTTGAAGGAATATGTTTTATTAAATTTTAATTTTTTGTTATATTATGCAGGGTTATGTGCGAGCCTTGCGTGTATGCAATCCAAGCGTAAGAGCCGTAGCTGATGAGTTGGAAAGAGATGAAATTGAACGTTGGTCAAGTTCTCTTCCACAAGCTAGAGTTACTCGCTGGGGAGGAATGATTTCTACACCCGACGAATATCTTCAAGTATGTAACAACTAATTAATATTGTGAAACTATTATTATAATAGGTATACAAAACTATTGTTTATTTTTAAATATTTTTCTTATTCAGAACAACATAAAACAAGCACTAATTGAAAGTGGTTGTCCTGCTCATATCCTAGATGATCTCGTTAAAAACTGTCACGAACGCAATTGGCCATCCGGACTATCAAGCCTAGAAACTAGGCAACACAACAGAAGGCACTATGACCGATACAACTGCAAACGTATACCAGGAAAACAGGCGGTCATTGTTTTACCTTGTGATAATATTATGGTTAGTGATGACATGATGTCTGAACCTGGTCTCATTATGATTTTTGCACATGGAATCGAATAAACTGTATGTGCATGTCGTTTCAGCTACCGTTATCAACTATTTTTTTTTTAGTCCTATTTTGTTATTTTTTTACGTCCAAAAAAAGTTATGGTTAACAATGAACCATTGTGATAAATTATATATACCATAAATCTATTACAGATCAAGAGATCACTCATGTTTTTACAGCTGCTTAAAATTGTAATTTAAGATAAGTTTGTTTCTTCAACATAACAATTTCAGATTATACATTTTTAAAAAGACTAACAAAAAAAAAATATAATGAGCTTATCACAACTGTACAAAAGCCTATACTTCAGTATTGATAAAATGTGTTTGCTATAATATATACAATGACATTTAAATCTTAACAAACATTTTCAACTTGTTAACTGTAATAAAACATAATTTTATTAAGAAATTTTAACTTGAAATTTTATATTTTTATTATATGTATTTAGTTATCATAAAATATTTTAACTTTGAGATTTGTACATCATTGTTGTATAAATGCGTACCTAAAATATTATAGTTATCATAAAATAGCCAGTATGTGTTTTTAATATTATGTTATATAGCCTTAATGAAATTATTGTTTTATATGAATATATAATAATTTGAATGTTTAATATTAAGTCAATTATACGAAAATTATCATGCTAAGTATTGTCGTAATCATATAATATACAAGATTTTTTATAAAGTACTTCAAACTGTTGTGTATACAGCATTATTTGTTATCTTATTAATACTACAATAATTATTATTACATTGAAATATCTAAGACAAATTTAAACTATAATTAAAAATAAAATACTTTTAATGTTATAACTTATAAGCATCTGAGACAGTTGTATATATATAAGTAACTCATGGTACTCAACTTCTTATTTTGGATTTGAAATTCAATGATGAGTAATAAATTATAATCAGAACTATGAACCCTTTGGTAAAAAATAGTAGAACAACATCATAAGCTCAGCTGATTGATGAATAGCGGCCTATTTTTTGTATATGAAAATGTATACAAATAACTTTAAATAGTATTTATGTTTTAATCTGGTGTTAAAACAGTGGTAAAATCAAGACTTGTGAACATATAGTGTGCGGTTATTTTGTAATGAAAAATACTCGAATGGTAGATCGCAGATACTTCCAAATTCCAATACAAAAATAATTAGAAGATCCACATATATTTTTATTTACAATATATGGGTACTTGATTACAATAAATATAAATGTATGTGTAGGTAAATAAATATTTATTTACCTAATTTGTTAAATCATACTTAAAATGTTTGATTTTTAATTTTTTAAATGACAAACATCCAACATAGATTTCACTTCTTTTTAAAGAAATATTCTATCTAATTATTTAAATGTACAAATAGTTTAAAAAAAACACTCAGATTTTAAACTTAAAAGTTAGAGTATGTTTTACAGTAGGATAGAGAATCTAGTAAGTTGCCAAAACAAAATATTTCTAGTTCCTTTTCTCAGTATTTGGGAAAACCAAAAAATAAATAAGAGAACACTCTTTGACCCCTTTACATGGGTAAAAATATTATTATAAAAATAATAACAATAAACTTATTTTCAACTTTTCAAATCACCCCAAATGATCCTAACCATCATGGCTGTAACTTTTTTTTTCGATAGGTGCATCATCCTTTAATAGTACTAAATCCTTCAAGTGAATTTCTATAGTACCTATTCTCTTATCATATCCTTAGTACTTTTTAACTAGTTTTTCTCTCTTGGTTTTAAGCGATTCTTGTTAGTTATATAGTAAAATATTATCATGGTTCCCAGTGGCAGCTTAAACGGGGTTAATTAGACGCAATTGAGTCACGAAAATAATGTAGGGTGGGTGTTGAAGGTTGACGTTTGTAGTTGAGTAGAAGTTAGAAACTTATTTTAACATCATTGATTAAATATAAAATACATTTAACATTTACATAATCAAAAGTCAACAGGAAAATAAATGCTAAAGATGCTATAAAACTACATCGGACTAATTGTACCTAAAAATATAGATATAAAACGTGGGTGGGTGGGTGGGTGTTGAAAATTATTTACTGTATCATCGAAAAAATAAGTTCACTCCGCCACTGATGGTTTCGGTTTAGTCCTTCATTTAATCAATATTTTTAACGTTCGTCCATGTACTACCTTATGCGCACTGTTGAAAATCAGCGAGTACCTATGAGAGGATTGTTTATTTTATTTCATGTGTAACTGGCAACTACATTAGTAAAGGTTAGAGCAGTGTCTCCACTCCCCTTGACTCTTTTAACAAAAAATATGTCATTAAAGTTTTCCCAAATTTTATTTATAGTAATTTGTTACTTTTCTTCAAGTACCGGCATATTACAGGTACCTACCTACATATGACGTTGTACCTGCTTACTAGTTATACTATGCGTGTAGATTTCATACATTTCAGATTAGTAAAATTAATAATTTTGTTATATTTGATACACGAAAAGTATTATCATGTAGTACAAATTTGTGTAGGTATCGTATTTGATCATATTTATATTATTTCTGCAGCCGTCCAATATATGTGTATATATTATGTGGACTTATACAGGAAAACGGCGCCGAGTGTGCATCGTACAACATACAACGTCATATATTATAGTTTCTGTCGCTGATGCACCTGGTTCGCTGGTGCAGGCCGCCGGAAAATGCGCGTCTAGCGGCTACAGCCGGTCCACGTACTGCTGGTTTGCTGCGGCACGTCCGCGGTCACGGGCGGCGCGCCGTTACGAATGGCCCGGTAGTAGTACATGAGCGAGTCCTGCAGTGACGACTGCGGCCGCCGCGACGACTCCTGGTCCCGCGAAGGTCCGGCCGAACACCTGGATGTGGCCGCGGGTGTTCGGCGACCGCATTCGTTGGCGCCGCCGTCGCTGCTGTCACCCGGCGATATTGGAAGTACAGCCAGTAACCGTCGTCTCGGTGGCGGCGCGCAACATTCGTCTTCGGTATCGGTGTCGGGCGACGGCGGTTGGTAGGTCAATCTGCGTCGCTGGCGGGGTGGCGTCGACGCGGCGGCGCAGGCCGATTCACCGTCCGGCGACGGCGGCATATCCCACGGGATCTCGTACGTCCCGGTCGGGGTCGCGGGGCATCGTTGGCCCTGCTGCTGAGGCCGTCGCTGAAACTCGGCCAGTTTTCGTCTCTCCTCGTCGATCAACCGCTGAATCCGTTGCCGGTCGTCGGCGCTCGGATTCGGCAACGGCTGCTGCAGCTGCGTTCGAGCGGAAGCGCGTTTCAGTTTCTTGTACTCGCGCATCATCTCGATGATTTTCATTTCCCTTTCCAAGCATTCCACCAGGTGCGCCCGCTGCTCGTTCAACCTTTCCAGTTCCCGTTGCATGGTTTGCTGTCGGTCGTCGTTTTCGTTCTGCAGATCGGGCTGCATTTCGATCGGCGAGCCAACCGCAGCCTCCGAATACTGCCCGTTGTCCACGTAAGGTTCGAATGCCAAACACTTGGGCCTCGGCGGGGCCGATGACGGACGTCCTCGAGACACGTCTTGCTGGGCAACGTCCCGGTGCTCTTGCCAGTTACTCATGTCCGCCTGGTCGTCGAAGAAATCGGGCTGGTAGCTGTGTTGATTGGCCATGGATACCCTCGCCCGGCGTTCCCGGCCACACGGGTCCCGTGGTCGACTATTGCTGCTGCTGCAGCAGGACGACCGCCGCCGGCTGCTCTTCTTCTTCTGCTGCATTAGTCCTTCGTTGATGATCTGATCAACCGGGTCGACGCAAGCTGCAGTAGGACTGGCGTTTGGTTCAGGGCAGCACTTCGGCGCACTGGGACGACGCTGGCAACATATGCTCGCGCCTTCGGTGACCAAGCAAGGTGTTTCGACTTTGGTGCAGCCGCAGCAGCCGAGCTCCTCGGCCAGGCGCCGGCGCACGCTCTGCGTCTTGCAGTCGACCGGTCGGTCGTCCCGGCGGCACGCATTGGGACAGCCCCGGTCGCCCGCCCGCCTTTCCGGTGACGCACCAGCCCGGAGTCCCGACTGCGCTCTCCGGTGATGCGACGGAGGTCCTGCAAGGGTGATATCATTTTCCCTTAACTCCTCGTGGTGTGCGGGACTCATATCGGCGGTTTTTCGTGTATGTCAATGAGACGTGTTTCAAATTTATATTTATAGTTGATTTGTTTCTTTAAAAATATTGTTGGTGGTTTTAAAATTAGTGTACCTACCCATACGTATGAATTATAATACATAGATACGTCGTCAGGCAAATTATCATAGTAACCATCATCAGTTAGCCAACAGAGTAGATATTTGTTCCGCAATTTTATTTAAAAAAAATATTTTACATGACGTTCTTGGCAATTATTTTCAGTGGTTTTGAGATATAATTATATACTCCTTATTAAATAAAATCTTTAAAAAAGTTAGACTTAAATAAAAAATAAAAAACTAATTAGGTTAGTTGTTCTCGGTAAAGTATAACTGTACTCTGCCGGGTCAATAATATACACCTCACGTCCACGCCTCCACGGTACACACATTATTTGACATTCTAAGTGCCCTGCAGTTAAAAATTTTATATTATTTAATACGTATAATTACTGTGTGGTAATGATAATAATTAATAATAATATGATATATACTTATATTTATCTTTATAATGGAAATGTTATACCTATACGTCTTGTATAAGTTGTAGTTTTACCATATTTCAATCATATTATTATTGCAAAATAATTAATAAGTGTGGTAATTGTAATAGTTCTTAATACAGAAAAAAAGAAAAATTAACATTTTCGAATTTTTTTTCGATGAATACTTATTAGTAGAGCTGTGAATTTGTAGGAAGGTGCATCTTTTTTAGCTCAATGTGAAACATAGCTTTTTAAGTACACGATTTGAATAATGTGACAATCAAGACATTTACAAAACTTTTATTTTGTATTTTTGTATCTTTTTAGATCATATTCAAGATTTTCAAGAAGAAAAATTCGATACGTATCGATACGTAACACCTCGTATCGAAGTCCGAGTCTGATACGGGTCGGTACGTATCGCTTATATACTGCACGTGTAACTACTTGAACGCTCAAAATTGCCTCGATACGTATCGATACACTCCAAATTCTTCCTTGAAAATCTTGATTGTCATTTTTTAGTGGATTTTAGGGTATTTTTTTTATAAAATTCCGTCGATTTCCATCTCAACACACATATTTTTTATTTTGCACATTTTATGAAATAATATTTTACACAAGCTGTATGCAAGGGCGTCATTTCATATTTTTTCTGGGTGTGCAAACTTTTAGGCAGGCCAATTTTGACATTTCACCAGGCCATGAAAAAAAAATATTTATACATATATATATTTAAATGTAGGTAACCTATGCAAACCTATGTAAATGTTCTTTCCTTCCCTTTTATACCTTAGACGAATCTTTATTTAAACAATTTTATCAAACTCATTTTCATTCAATTTAGACGTCAGTCAAATAATAAAATAATTTTCTACAGTGAATAAGTGAATTTTTAAATTATTATTAATAAATGATGTTTAAAAACAAGTAAAACATAGTTTAAAATAAATGTTTAATAAGTACTTGTACTTATACATGTAATGATGAAATATGTATTTTATTAATTAGGTACCGGCTATACTATCCATTTAAGAAAATTTATAATTTTACATACTAAACATTACACCTGTATATAATGTGTCAGACGTCAATGTGTAATATAATTGCATCACTCATACTATTTTGAAATTTTTGAAAGATATCAACTATTGTGAAGATTTGGGTTTCAAATGTCTGATCCTACTGATCTAGGTGGATAAAAAAATATTGCGACAAATGTCCAGACCAACTATGCAGAGCTATTTAGAGGCATCATTCTAAAGCACGAGCTTTGGCAATATACGTGACGTTTTTTTGTTGGTACCTACAAAATAAAATATCAAAGTTGAAAAATTAAAACCGTTAGCGAAGAGTATAAAAAAATGTATCTTTATTCTTCGTGCTCAATCCTAAGCGTTTGATATTTTAGTTGATGTTTTTCCGCTGATTTCTCACCTTGTAAAATTACTTATACCAGCTATAGCAAATACTACTTATGGTTTGTAGATAAAAATAAATTTGATGTTTTTTACCTAGTCGTTTTTTTTTCCTAGATTCATAATTAGTGTTAGATATCTTAATGATAAGTTCTCTAATGTTTCTCCAATAGTATAATCATAGAATAGATTAAATCTATTCTGTAGTCTAATGTTTCTCTCAGACATTTTTTTAAAAAATATTTTTTATTAAATAAAGTCGTACCGACGTACGTCATCTTAACTTATTGTTGATAAATACATTTTTTTTATACATATGAAAAATAGATACCTAACAATTAGTAATTAGTAATAATATTACTTATTAGTTATTACTTTATTAGTAATAAAAGACGCTAACAGCTACGTTATAAATTATTTACAAATCAGAAGAAAATTTAAATTAAATTAAATAAATATAGTTATAACAGCAGGTCGTGAAGACATCCACGCTTGAGTCTGCATACAGCAGGTGGGTCACTTAATCTATACAATTTAGCACTGTGAGCAGAATTTATGTGGTCGAGGAAGAAGTTGATTGTTAACTTTTTAGTGTACTCAGTTATTGTGGGTAGCTGGAAGTCTTTGTGAATTGCATCATTACGTACAAACCACGGGGCATTAGAAATGGTTCCCAGAACTTTTGATTGGAAAACTGGTATTTTTTGAATGTGGATTTTTGCACAATTTTCCCACACAGGGACTGCGTATAGAAGTAGCGGTCGTAGGATTTGCTTATATAGCATAAGAGAACATCTGCAGCTTAATGCAGTTTGTCGGGTTATCAATGGGTCTAGAACTTTTAGCCTCTGATAGCCTAGTTTGTAGGTGATAATATGTGGATTCAAAGTTAATTTCCTGTACAAAATTAGACCGAGGTATTTGATATCAGCCATCAGGTGACCAAGGAATACTATTACAGTACATTTATAAATCCACGGTTTGTCTAATACTCTAATGAACGAGCATGGACTAAGACCGTGGACTAAGATATCTTAGGCTATCTCTAATATTGGGTATTGAGATTGATATTAACACAGAATAGAACCTTGGAGATAACGTCACAGAATAACGTGAAATCACGAGAAATATTCTGTGATAACGTTAATGCCGAAAGCTGATTAATAAGTGATAATGAGATTATTCTTTTTCTAAATATACGTTCCTTTTTCAAAATCGTAATTAATGTTATTTTATTTGGAAACTTCATATTACTTATTTTTAATATTTAATGTTATTGCCTAGTTCAATGGTTTGAAGTAATGTCTTTATTTCCAGCATTTGAAGATGCCACAACCAAATGTGGTTCAACTCCAGATGTGGAAGGTAAGAGAGTTTTTTAAACTGATTTAAAGACGAATTCGACCATTCATGTATGTATATTGTATATTAGATGTAAATCTAACGTTTGATGAACAATACTAATAAGGGTAGGCAATATAATCGGTTTCATATTGGTTTATATTTTTAGCTTGAAAATGATTTAGTTCACTTCATCTAAGATAGTTTGTTTGCATTGGCCACCGAGTTTATTTTAGTTTTGAATTGAATTAATAGAGTTTAAATTCAGTTGATGTCGAATATTAACCTGTATTACTTTTGTTTTTATAGCAAACAAAGAACAAAAGGGACAACCAGAATGGCTTGAAAATTCTAGTTTTGAGCCTGAAGCTTTAGCCCTAATTAAAGAGAGAATCAAAGAAGATGAAAAACAAGAGCATGAGATAAATGTTCAAAATTCTTATAAATTGTACAAAAAATTACACGGGAAAAAGAAAAAAAAGAAGGATAAAAAACGTGTTAAAAAAATTAAACGTCCAAAGTAAGTCATAATTCAAGCAGATATGTTTGTTGTAAACAATTTGAATTAAATTGCTATTTATTGTTTATTTACCTTTATCAGATTATACATTGACCAAATTTTAAAGGATTGCGATTTTATTTCAATCGATTGTAAAAGAGAATTGGGAAATTTAAAAGTTGAAAAACTGTATAGACCTGCTGCTCCTATGTAAGTTTATTAATAACATAATAAGATTACTTCTGTTTTTCTATTTTGATATATTTTATTGAGATATTAAAATATTTGTTTTGTTTTGTTTTGTCTTAAGGTTTCGTGTTAGTAATAAGTATCGTGTTCTAGATCATCAAGGATGGGTATATAATTCATTTAAGCAAAAACAAATTAAACGATATTACACTTTAAAAGAAAAGGATTGTGGTGACAGAAGTATTGAGATAAATATAGAAGAAGATTGTTTAACTCAAAATAAACTATTAGTAAATATAACTAAAAAAGTTCAAGAAGAAGATGATGATATTGAAAAAGTTGAGTTAAATTCAATAAAATGTGAGAATCGTTTAACTGAATTGACTGCTGGGTATAATAAACATTTAGCAGAACAGCCAAATGATATTGATTCATGGATAAAATTTGTAAATCATCAAGTAAGGTTTTATTTTAAATGTATTTTATTTTTGAAAATTACTTTAAATCCTTTTTCTTATTTTCCTTCTCCCTTCCCCTCAACAACTGTTTGAGGTCAGTCACCCTTGTCCTACATTTCCATAGGTTTCCTTTTATCTACTTACGCCAACTATTTCCATGTTATTCTCTAATTTTTTGTCTCTACATCTTTTCTTTGGTCTTCCTCTACTATTAATTAATTTACTGAACAATCTCAACCTATTCTTTCTCATTTTGTCTATAATCAGGGTGCTTTTCTTACACTGCTCTTAATGAATTATTTTCTCATAACACTTTCCCTACTCACTCCGCTCATCCACCTTAGCATTCTCATATTCTATACTCAGTTTTACTTGCACTGTTAAGCATACAACAGTTAACACTGTTTTGCTTAAATCTCCACTGTCCTATCCATGGCTAGCCTCACAACTGTTTTATGAAAATAACTTCAAATTAACTTATATATACTATTGTTATACAGGAAGCTTTATATTCTTTAAATCGCGGATATGGTTATAAATGTAAATTGAATAAAAAAGTCATCTTAGAGAAGCAAATTGC